CTGTCAAAAGTCGTATACTTGATTTTGGGCGCAAAAAATAAGTTTTTTTGCCATATCACAGCCAAAAATGGTCCAAATGAGGAATGCAATACCTCGTATGGCTCGTAATTTGATTGCCATGATTCCCAATTGGTTTGCACTCAAATCTGAGAAACTTCAATTTTGTTCAATTTTTCACAAATTTTGATGATGGTACCCCTTATCAAAAATGCGAAAATTTGCAAAAAATTAAGTTTCCGAAATCGATCGGACAAGGACATTTCTTGCAATTTCGGGTCGTAAGCTGCACAAAACAGTCGTTCTTATGGCTGTAAGTCTTTTTTTGACCGAGCTAGAGCTAAAAAGTCGCAAAAAATAAAGCAAATTTCTATCAGGAATACGGTTTTTGACTTTATAGCCATTAAATCAGCACTCTCCCCAACAAAATCAAAACAATACTGTTAAAAGTAGGAAAAGGGGTTACAAGTTTTGGTTATTTGCTCCATAAAAAAGTCATTGTTTTAGCCGTGCGTCTTGTTTTGACAAAGTTAGAGCTAAGAAACGGCATTAAAACCGAAATCTCTGCTGTCAAAAGACGATTTTGGGCGCAAAAAATCAGTTTTTTTTGCCATAGCACAGCTAAAAATGGTCCAAATATGGAATGTAATATCTCGTAGGGTTCGTTATTTGATTCTCAATCAAGTTTGATTCGAATCTGGGAAACTTCATTTTTTTCAATTTTTCACAAATTTTGATGATGGTACCCCTTATCGAAAATGCGAAAATTTGCCAAAAAATTAAGTTTCCGAAATCGATCGGATAAGGACATAACTTGTAAGTACGGGTCATTAGGTGCACAAAACAGTCGTTCTTTTACTTTTGCGCATGGTTTTGGCCAAGTTACAGCTACAAAACCATAAATAATAATGCAAATTTCTGTTAATAGAGTTATTTTGATTGTTCGCCCATGGAATCATCACTCGCACAAAAATGCCAAAACAATAATGTTAAAACTAATTTAATGGGTCTTAAGTTTTGGTAGTCAGCTGTGTCAAACAGTCGCTGTTTTAGCCGTGAGTCTTGTTTAGACAAAGCTAGAGCTTAGCCACTGCAACAATATCGGGCTCTCAGCTCTTAAAAGACGTATACTTGATTTTGCGCCTAAAAAATCAGTTTTTTTTGCAATAGCACAGCCAAAAATGTTCTAAATTCGGAATACAATACCTAGTAGAGCTCGTAATTTGAGTGCTATGATTATCAATTGGTTTGCATTAAATTTTGGGAAACTTAAATTTTTGGCCATTTTTCCAAGTTTTGATGAAAAAAAAAAATTATAAAAATTTAAAATTTGGGCAAAAATATATTGTTCGAAAATCGAAAAACGAGTGATAGGGGTGGCAAGTATTGGTCGTTAGCTGCACAAAACTGTTTTTATTTTGGCCCTACGTCTTTTTTGATCAATTTATGAGCTCAAACATTAAAAAAATAGCGCAAATATTGTTCACAATCTTTATCCTTATTTGTCCCTAAAAATATTCTATCTTTCGATAAGATGTATAAATAATATTTTTATTTCAAGAACTTTAACGAAATCATTATATGTCCTTAAGACATTCATCCTGAAAGAATTGAAGACACTAGTGCTAGAAAATCCATTCAGCTTCAATTCGTGGGACTTCCCACTGACAAGTTGGAGTATCTTATCGAAGGATATATCCAGCAAGGAATACAAATATCAAATAAACGACAGCGCAGTGAACCACGAATGCTGCAAAATGTGCAAAAGTGCACAAAGAAAATTGCAATAACAATTTGGCGCAGACGAAACTGGAATAAAAAAAAAAATAATGCAAAATAAAATAGAATTATTTAACGAAAAACAGTTGAATTTCGGGTGCTTTTTTTTGCATTTGTTGTCGCTCCTGGGTGCACGGCATTTGCATAGAAAAATTCAAATTAAGCGAAAATGTGCAAAATGCTGTGAATGGATATCAGTCTGTCCCGCTCCCGTTCGTTCGTACACCCCACAACCACCCCCTGAGTCCGAACCCTTTCCCACCCGTTGCCCAATTATTTGGGCAGGCGAATGCAACAAATGAATGGTCAAATAAAAGCTGGACAAAGAAATGGCCAGCTGGAAATGAGCAGCCAAAGCAAAGCAGTTGACAGAGATAACAACAAGGTGCGAGCGGGACGGTGGTTGGACCAGAGGGAGATGGCCTGAGATAAATAGCGCAGTCGAGTGCTTAAAGTGTTCGTCTAATGACAAAGCAAATTGTGTGCATTTGCTGGCACAACAGCAGAGCAGCTGTAAAAAAATCTGAAACCGAAAACAATCCCGTAAAGTTCAAGTGGAATTGGAAAAGTTTTAAAGTTTTCTGTAATTTTGCAGCTGCAATTTCGATTGAATTAATCGTTGGAAAAGCCTTACCGTAAGCCGACCACAAGGAGCGCAAGGAGTACATCTCATTCTCTCTCTCTCTCTCTCTTTCTCTGTATTGCTCTCTTTAATTCTCTGTCTCTTTTTACCTCTTCCTGCAACTCAGAACACTGCAAAAATAACAATCAACATCGCTTGAGTTGCAGCTTGGCTAATTGTTGTTGCTGTTTGAGCTGCTTAATTAAGACGTCGACGACAGTAGCTCCTTTTCTCCCTCCAAATACACTGAAAGAAATTGTCTTTAACATTCATGTTCTCTTAAATGCATGACCTTTGTTTTGAATACATTATCATTATACGTTACTCTTACTATTTTTTAAATTTATTGGTTGGATAAATAACCTTTTCTCGGAACGTCTAGATACGGTTGGCAATTTAATTTGTATTTTTTAGTCTTTTTATTAATTATTATTCATGTTAAATTGTATGAATAGAAAATAAAGATCTTAACTTTTTACTATTTGTTTCGGTGTGCTTTCTTGTTTTTCATTCTCTTACTCTGTCTATCCGCTTAACTTGCATGGCCCTTTTTTGTTTTTATTTGCATAGGCCTGCTCCGCCAGTCCCTTCTGCATCCTCGTCCCCATCCACATCCGCATCGTCATTCGCAAGGCGAGTGTCCAATGCAAGGCATTTCAACGTCAACGGATATGTCATCGGCTTCTCCATATACCCTCAACTCGATTGAAGAATCAAAAGTGCCACTTCGGTTTATGTAAGGAAGATATTGTAGCTGCTTCCGTTTGACACTTTCCGAATTCGCCCACCGACGAGGCAATGTGTTTTTAAGTTTATCCTTTTATAATGTCCTTCAATCGCATTATCGCTGCAGTTCTCTTATTATACCAGATATTTACATAAAATGCGAAGCCGCTCGAATTGCATTTAGGCCACAGTTGAGGCATAAAGCCTTTGTTGTCTTACACTTGAAATGAAGTATTCTTTGACTTTAACTATCAAATGAAAGATCTTTAGGATTCAAAAAAATATGGTTTAATCTATTAAAAGTTCCCTTTATGTCGTTTTGTTCTAACTGACTGTACTGTTGATTGAATTATAAACTCAAGAATAATCTATTTCTTAACAAAAATGGTCAATTATACCCTGGAAAACCTAACGCTGACTTTTCTAACACTTAAGTTTCCAAAACTTTTTCACAGCGCATTGCCGCCGATAGCCCCAGTTTTTCTCGCAGTTCCTTCTCATCCACAGGCTTTCCTTCACATGCCATCACAATTGCCTTTGTCCGTCTTGGCCGGCTGTCATCTGGCTTTTTTCACATTTCCCCGTCTGCTGGCCTTTTTTTCCTTCTTCGATTCCGTTTGCATTATGTCCTGTGCACTCCCTGCTCGGTGCTCAGAGCTACGTTCTTCTGTGGCCTGCATTGTGCAAATGTAAATTCCGCTGCCTTGAGTCCGCTCAGAGTTTACGGTTCGAAGAACTAAATGTCAACAGTTTTCATAAATCTGCCACTGGTGGTGGACATCATCAGCTCAGCTCAGACCGCCAGGCTCGCCTCGCCGCCCCTGTGATCCGTAGCCCGCAGTCCGCAGTCCGGACTCAAAGTTATCTTAAGTGCTCCGAGTGGAAACTGTCAGCCATTCTGTTCTCGGGCTGGCTTGTTTGCTCGCTGTTTGTTTGTTTGCTGCTAGCTGACTCTTGGTCAACTGTTTTTGACAAGCTCTTTAAAATAAATCACTTTCCCAAATGCTTTTTCGAATTAAATTTTCAATTTTCCACCAAGCCATTCAGATGCTTTCTCAAAGCTGATGAATAATTCTATGTGTTTTGGTGTTAAATATCCTTTGTTGGCAGTTTAAATCTTTCGAATTATTAATTTAGATTGAGCTTGTTTTTTGAGCTGCTTCTAGGGAAGCAATTTTCATGCGCTTCCATGGACTAGTTTCATAACGCCAAACGAAAAAGAAAGGTGTTTATCTAAAATAATAAAATATTTCCAACTTAAATAGCAATATCGGTACCACATGTAAAAAAATAGATTGTTTTTCTCACAAACTTTTCATATTTAACAAATTAAGTTCCTGGAAGTTTTTACAGAAATTTACATAAATTATCGACTAAAGAATATTCGAAAATCAAGGGAGGCTTGTTTTGCATTCTTTGGAATTTCTTGGCAATTACTTTCCATTAGCTGGGCATTGTAATGCTAAGCACAACTTTCAACTTTCGCTAGTTTTGGCCAAGCAACCGAAAACACATATTGGCCAAGGCTCGGCCAAGGTGGCAACACAATAATATTTTATGGCATGGCATTAACTTGGACATAGAGAGGGCCAAAACCAAACCATTGTGTCTCGGCAAAAGCCAAAAGTGCCGTTGCTCGTAATCGATTCAGGGAAACCAGTTCTCGTGGACAGTGGACCATAATCTCGACGAGATTCCATGTTTATAACATGTTTGATTCTAATCGGGTTGAGCTTCGGTGGGGTCTACTGTGTTTTCACATTCCTAGAACATTGCCAAACATGAATCGTCAATGCAAATTAGTTGCGGACTGACCCAATTCGGATGGCCATAAAATTGGTCGAGTGGTCCAAAATCGGTTTAGTCGTAGCCGGAGCCAACGCCTAAAATATGTATTAGCCAGAATGAAGCTACCACTGCTGCTGTTGCTAATCCAGTCTTGGGCCCTGTTCGCCATAGGTAAGTCCCCCGAATCGTGTATAAGTGAAAGTACAGTGAGTGCTCAGCTCTGACGACCCTTTTATCGCAGCCACTCCTGCCAAGCACTGGCGTCGTGCACCCACCCATGGGGTTTTCAATGTGGATGTCTATGCATACAACAAGCCCAGGATGAACCTGGCCTTTCGCCAGGCCGTTTCCAGTCGATCGGCTCAGGATTCTCCGCCAATGGGTGATCTGCTGCATCAGATCTCCCAGCACAGTCAAAGATCCACCGAGCAGAGGTCCCACTACAGAAACCTCGACGAGAAGGTGGAGGTCCTGGCAATGGCAGGGCAGAAACAAGACAGCGAACTGAACAAAACAATTGAGGAGCCGGCCATAAACATGCAATTAATGCCGCTGCAAATGAACTCGGCTCTGCACGCACGGGAGAATTTATATTCGAACGAGTTCCATGTGCAAAGTATTGGGGCCAAGAAGATAGTGCAATTGAATACCCTGACCACTGACCATGAACGTAAACCAGTCGCCGAAGAAGTTATGGCCCAAAGGCAGCAGGAGCCAGAGCAGCAGCAGGAGCAGCAGGAGCCGCTGAAGGTAAAGCTGACACTGCCAGAGCTTCCCGAGAACAATGCAGCAGAAACAGAAGCCATGCCTGGAAAGGATAAAGTCGGAGGTGGAGCTGAAGAAGCATTGACTTCAAACGCCACGGTGACAGCTCCTGCAGGGGAATCCCTGACAAGTGTGAAGAAAACTATGGCCCCGAGTGGGACAATTATCGATATGGCATCGACAGGAATGCAGCAGCTTGTCAGCCGTCCGACAGCGGAGAATGCCGGTGACACGGCCACAAAGGCTCATTCCGGTAAGGAAAAGAAGGATGAAACCAGAGTCCGACCGCCTCGACGGAAGACCAAGCGAAAGCAAACGCCAACAGGAGCGAAGGCATCTAATGAAACTGATACAAAGATGACAGCAAACCAAGTTGTCACTGTCTCAGTTCCTGCTCCTGCTCCTGCTGCTGCTGCCCATGAAACTAACCCCATTCTGGGACCAAGTACTGGTCCATTGAATGTGAAGCAACCGACGAAGGAATTGGAAACACAATCACCGGAAATCAGCACGCATCGTCCTTTAACAGCGAAGAGCAAGGGCAAAGGCAAGGGTAAGGGCAAGGATAAACGTCGGCAGGGTTCTCAAGAGACGTCCTGTGAACGCGGGAGCAATGGAGGAGGAAATTGAAACTACGACAAATTGGTGGCAGATTCTCCCGTATTCGGAAATTAGAAAATTTTTGAATACGATTTACGATACCATCGCCGACGATACCGACGACGAACGTGCCACGGATGATGTGTGAAAGCAGAGTTACGGACGGTCGGGCCCGGGGTTTTTGGGGTTTCGGTTTTAGTGTTTATAGAGGGTCCGACCGGGCGGCGAATTGAATTTCCGCTGGAACTGAACTTCGTGCACTGATTAAATAGCTTATAACTTGGGGAAACATTTCGATTAGATTTGGTTGGTGTTTTATGGTCACAACAACTAGCAATAAAACGGGATATAAAGATTTAAAAACCTATTAAAGATTTCGTATTAACACTATAAAATCACGTCTTTAATTCCACTTTCGTTCCACCCACTGTTGAGGCTTTCAATTTTTATTCAAATATCTGCTCCTATTAATCATCATAATCATCATTTCAAAGTCATCAGCGTCTCTATTTAATGCGGGGTGCTGCGTCAACAAAGATGACTTAATTAAAAGTCCCCCTGATCAGAAACAATAACTCGGCTGGGCACTTAAAAACCCATCTATTCATATTTGAATAAACAAATGCCAGAACCCAGTCGGCGGTATACACTTCTAGTCAACAAATACTATTGAAGACAGCTTAATGGGCATTAGGCGCGACCCCGTCTCGTGGCGCGGCAGGTTAAAGTTGAAAGTGGTCGAACGGCTTCCATTCACAGCCCAAAACAGTTGACGGCAGGTAAAGCGTGAATCGAGCCGACATTAATGAGCTGAGAATTTTTTTATGACTGCGAAATGGATTTCACAGACTGGCAGCCTCCGAATAGTGACTCACTGCCGGCATAAATCTCTGCCGCTGATTGATTGGTCTTAATGAGAGATGATAATATAAATGATTAAAGCAAATATAGTATATATATTCATTTCGGTTATTTATTGAACGACCAGCAAGACAAATTTCTGTTTACTCAAGTGATTAAAAGTGACTCGTCGCCGAAGTTTTCTTTTTTTTCGCAACTCTCGTCTCGACTTGGGCTCAACCTCAGCCACAATAAACAGCTGCATCCCACTGTCTTGATGGGTCAACCCGAAGAGTTCTTGACCAGTCTTTGATGGTGATTGAGTGGTGGTACTTTGCACCGCCTGGACAAGTGGCACGCTGAATGCGTGACCATCGTACAGATGCAATTGCCAGTCGCAAAGATTGGGGGTAAGGCTACACTTGGCGGAAGAATTATCCGAAATCAGCTTGGCCTGGGTCAAATTCAAATCCTTCAGTTCCTGTAGTGCCTCATCTTGGAGCAGAGGAATAGCTTTGGACCACTGGGCCAAAGCGAAAAACGAGATCAGAACTAGCCACGGGCTTACTCGAAAGGCTTTGTCGGAGCTCATTTCAATTTCTCCTACCACCTTCTCAGGAAGCTGAACTTGGACTGGTCGTTTTGGAAAGGTGACCAGGTGGAGTGGGGCAACTGAAACCAGTTTGCTTGAATAGGTTCGCATTGAGTGCTGTCATCGTTGTCATGTCAAAAGAATTACCAATGAAGTTCCAATGCCCTGGAATTTCAAGGTATTTTGAACTTGAGATGAACTTTTAGATATTTATTTATTAATGAGTTCTTTAGATAGCATCTGCCAATTTGTGAAATTATACTGAAATTAAACTTAAAAAATCTTTATTTATATTTCATTTATTCATTTGCCTTTTTGGCTTGTTAAGTTTTTGTGTTGCTCTTACCACTTACGCCTTAAGCCTCAGGGCAACATATTCTTTATTCTTTTCATGGTAATAGTAGTAGCAGCAAAGACTTTCCCAGACCCAAGAACGAGACTCATCGAATTCAACAATTTATAATATAGAATTACAAAAATGTTGTTGGGAAGTTTGCTATGAAATTGTTGCATTTATTATTAATAGCAAAAGTATTTTACATAAATAAATTTATTGCTTAATCAATGGATCTCTCAAGTTTACAAATCTCTTTTTCCGCCTTTCTTCACCTTATTCTTGGCCTTAGACTTGGGTTTGGATTTTCCATCCGCTGGTGTTATTAGTAGCAAAGGTTTTCCATTTTCATCTGACAATCTTACGAATTGGGCTTCTTCGGGTTTCATACACAACCGTGGATAATAGAAACAAAGAGATGTGACCGAGTGTGGCACGGTTTCAACGGAAAGATTCTGTTTCTGGTGGTTACCATTACTAAACTTACTGTTTAACACTTGAACAGATTTAATTTTCTGGCAATCTGGAAGATAAGGGTAAACTGTACAAAGGTCACGGCTAGCTGTTGGTGATTCTGTTGTTCCCTCTGTAGTTGAATCTGTCGTTGTCTCCGTTGTTGTTTCTGTTGTTGAATCTGTCGTTGTTGTATCCGTCGTTGTATCCGTTGTAGTATCCGTTGTTGTTGTATCAGTTGTTGTCTCAGTTGTCGTTGTGTCCGTCGTTGTATCCGTTGTTGTTGTATCAGTTGTTGACTCAGTTGTCGTTGTCTCCGTCGTTGTATCCGTTGTTGTTGTTGTCTCCGTTGTGGTATCCGTTGTTGTTGTATCAGTTGTTGTCTCTGTCGTTGTCTCCGTTGTTGTATCCGTTGTTGTGGTATCAGTTGTTGTCTCCGTTGTAGTATCCGTTGTTGTTGTATCAGTTGTTGTCTCCGTTGTTGTCTCTGTCGTTGCTTCTGTTGTTGTTGTCGTTGTTGGTTTCTTGGTAGTGTGACTTGTTGGTTTCTTCGTAGTGTGACTTGTTGGTTTCTTCGTAGTGTGACTTGTTGGTTTCTTCGTTGTTTGTCTTGTTGGTTTCTTCGTTGTGTGACTTGTTGGTTTCTTCGTTGTTTGACTTGTTGGTTTCTTCGTTGTGTGACTTGTTGGTTTCTTCGTTGTTTGACTTGTTGGTTTCTTCGTTGTGTGACTTGTTGGTTTCTTCGTTGTGTGACTTGTTGGTTTCTTCGTTGTTTGACTTGTTGGTTTCTTCGTTGTTTGACTTGTTGGTTTCTTCGTTGTTTGACTTGTTGGTTTCTTCGTTGTTTGACTTGTTGGTTTCTTCGTTGTTTGTCTTGTTGGTTTCTTCGTTGTGTGACTTGTTGGTTTCTTCGTAGTGTGACTTGTTGGTTTCTTTGTTGTTTGACTTGTTGGTTTCTTCGTAGTGTGGCTTGTTGGTTTCTTCGTTGTTTTACTTGTTGGTTTCTTTGTAGGTTTCTTCGTTGTTGTTATATCTGTCGTTGGATCTGTTGTTGTCTCTGTTGTTGTATCCGTCGTTGTCTCCGTTGTTGTATCTGTCGTTGTATCCGTTGTTGTATCAGTTGTTGTATCCGTTGTTGTTGTATCAGTTGTTGTATCCGTTGTTGTTGTGTCTGTAGTTGTCTCCGTTGTTGTATCTGTCGTTGTATCCGTTGTTGTATCTGTCGTTGTATCCGTTGTTGTATCAGTTGTTGTATCCGTTGTTGTTGTATCAGTTGTTGTATCCGTTGTTGTTGTATCAGTAGTTGTCTCCGTTGTTGTCTCCGTTGTTGTCTCCGTTGTTGTCTCTGTCGTTGTTCTCGTCGTTGTTTCTGTAGTTACATCCGTTGTTTCCTCCGATGTCGAATCCGTGGTAGAGTCTGTTGCTGGTTCAGTTGTCGTGTCTATCGGGGGTGTTGTAGTCGGTCCTGTTGGTTTCTTTGTTGTGGGCTTTGTTGGTTTCTTGGTTGTTGGCCTTAGTTGGTTTCTTCGTTGTGGGCTTCGTTGGTTTCTTCGTTGTGGGCTTTGTTGGTTTCTTGGTTGTTGGCCTAGTTGGTTTCTTCGTTGTGGGCTTTGTTGGTTTCTTGGTTGTTGGCCTAGTTGGTTTCTTGGTAGTGGGCTTTGTTGGTTTCTTGGTTGTAGGTTTTGTTGGGGGCCTAGTTGGGGGCCATGTGGGCGGCTCTGTTGTTGGCGTCGAGGGCGTTTCAGTTGTTGGCGTCGTGGGCGTTTCAGTTGTTGGCCACGGGGAACTTGTTGGTGGCACATAAGGCGGGTATGGGTAATATGGCGGCGGAGGATAAACTATCGGAGATGGATCATAGTATCCATATGAGGGTGGCCAATGCTCTTCATGGTTGGGTTTTTCTTTCTTTTTATGCTTATTCGATTGGCCCTTAGTAAGACCCGTAAATCGACTAATAAGACCTCCCACATCCCACACAGGAACTCGGACTTGGACCTGATAGCCCGCGGAAAGCGAAAATATCCATTTAGGTCCAGCTGCGAGTAGCAAGACCCAGATTAAAGAAACTCTGAGAAGTTGCATGCTTCTAGAAAGAAAACTTACTGAAGTTGAGCGTTCAATAACACCTTTTTATATTCTAAGTTTTTCATAAAGAGTATATTAATAATCGTTAATCACAGTTAAATCAAAAGTCAACAAACTTAAAACCTATTGCTAAATCGGTCAGTTCTCGAAATCATTACATTGCTATCTTACCCCCAAAGTTTTCTTGATTGAGCGATGGTGACATTTTATTGCATTTTGTGAATTTTATAGTGATAAGCTCATGTGTCTGCAGATGGCTTGAAGAACTTCACAATTTATTAACTACAAGTTAGTTTGCGATGCAATCTTTAGATTAACCATCTAGAAACTTTTTTTGGTGCTCACAAATTATGTTTTTTTGTTTTCGGTTTTGTTCTTGTCTTTTTGGTGATTATGTCTTAAACGGGTTCTTCTTGGTTGAAGAGAAGCTTATAAAAGTCGACTTGGTTTTCATGTTGATTGAATTCTGTTAAAGTTGAACAAAATTTTAAAAATTGATGATCCGGCATATAATATTAGAGTATTGGCATTTTGATTTATTTCAGGTTGGAGTAATTATTTACTATAAAAACAATGGCGCGGCTGAAGTTAACCTTAACTAAACCGAGTAGTTTTAGAAATAAAAAAGTGGGTTATATGTGTAGCATTGTTGTTTATTTTCAAAAAGTAAACAAAGGTCATGCCCTTTGATTATGCTTCGGTTTAACTAACCGGTAAATATATTTACTCCTAGATGGTTTCTTTCGTCCAGATTGCTGCCATTTTAGCGGTTTTGGTTTTGAGTTCAACCGGCGGGTAATGTCTGCCGCGACAGGCGTTATAAGAAGCATCGGCTTGCCGAATCCATCGGTTAAGCGAACGTATTCTGCCTCCTCGGGCTTGGCACAAAGACGTGGATAGTTATGGCACAGCGTGGTCATGGATTGGGGAGCCGATTGTATAGTAAGCTCGAGATCTGGTCTGTGTGCAGCAGAAGTTGTGTGCTGCCCCTCTAGACTAAGCACTGTCGGTGTGGAAATAGGACTACTCTTGCGGTGACTGTGGAATGGATTCATTGGAGTGGGTGTTGTGGCTCGGAAATTTATTTTCTTTCGTCTGATTCGATAAGATGAAACGGCAGAGCCTGATGTTGAAGAGCCCCCTGTCGTGGAAGATCCTCCTGTTGTAGAAGAGCCTCCCGTTGTAGAAGACCCACCAGTTGTGGAAGATCCTCCTGTTGTGGAGGACCCACCAGTTGTGGAAGAGCCTCCAGTTGTAGAAGACCCACCAGTTGTGGAAGAACCTCCAGTTGTAGAAGAGCCACCGGTTGTGGAAGATCCTCCTGTTGTTGTAGACCCTGCTGTTGTTGAAGATTGTTCGGTTGTTGAACTGGTTGCAGGTGCTATCGTAGTCGATGTACTTGAAACTGATACAGCCGTAGATGCTGATGCCGTCGAAGATGTTGTAGTTTTCTGTGTTGTGGTAGTTGTTGATTTTCTTGTAGTACTAGTTGGCCGTCTAGTTGTGGTGCTTCTTCTTGTCGGTTTCCGTGTTGGCCTAGGCCTTGGTCGATTTGGCCTTAGGGGTCTGAGAGGTCGTAAAGGACGCGGAGGCCGAGGCAGTGGCACCGGAACTGGTACAGGTAAGGGTAAAGGATCAACTGGTACCATTTGACTTCCAGGATATAATCCTTGCTTCTTGTTGTAATATTCCTGCATGAGCGCGTTGTAATAGGCGTCCCAAGAAGCAGCAGCGTTAGAACTTTCCTGCGTCCCCTTAGGTGCTTGGGTGGTGCTTGCCGCTCCAAATGCGTTCGATAGGCGCGAGTATAGATCATTCACGTCCCAAAGTGGTACGTTCAATCTCACAGCTTCCTGTGGAATGTCACACCCTGCCAGCACTGTGAACAGCAATAGGAAAAACGTGTGCATCGAAATCATTGCCGCGTATCGATTTGTTCACCTTAATACGTAAATTCAAACTAAGCTTGCAAGCATCTTGAAAATACGTTTTTATAGCAAATCCAGAAGATAATAAGACGGCTGATGATGCCCCAGAGCTATAGACGACCCATCAGCTTTATAGGTAAAACAATTGTCAAGCTAGCAAATTGTTTGTATTTCACTAAACAAAGCAACAAAGTAATCAAAGCAAATGTTCTTCCCTTAGTCATGGCTCGTTTCAAGCTGCTTTCTTTTTGGTGACGCCGAATTAATTTTGATATTGATAATTTTAAAAATACTGGTATCAATAAAGAACTTATAGTACTTACTCACTAGGGTCCACAATATTGGTTAGCTTAGAGAGCCAATATTTGTGTAAATTATTATCAATTTAACTCTCTTTGAAAATAGTATCATTAAGGTGAACAAAGATTGGTACTTACTTTCATTAAAACTTTTTAGAAAAAGAGTATCACTGATCACTGTTAAAGTTATCATATTTATTATAAGTTTTGACATTATGTATGTTTTCTTATGGTTCTCCTTATAGCTCGCCATAAGGCCGGCTGCTGTTGGGAATGGGCGGATCGTCCTTCTACTTGCGAAATTAGCAATAAAGGCTTTCCATTTCCATCAGCAACTCGAACAAATTGGGCCTCTTCCGGCTTTAAACATATACAAGGGTAAAAGTAACACAGAGACGTTACTGATTGGGGCATCGAAGTAATTGCCAGCCTTTGTTCGGGCTTGAAAACAGTGCCAAGTACAGAGGCTTCCGACTGTCCAGGTTCGCTTTTCTTAAGGTTCAGAGACTTTAAGGATTGACAACTAGGAATATCGGGGTATTCTTTGCAAAAAGAATTTTCGCCGGTGGACTCGGATGCTGTTGTCGAAGAGGGTAAAACTGTAGTAGAATCAGTACTTGTTGGAATTGCAGTAGATGTGGTAAGGCTTTCAGTCGTCGTTGTGAAATCCGTTGATGGGTTAGCAGTGGAAGTCGTTGTAGAATCTGTTGATGTGGGAATAGCTGTGGAAGTCGTTGCGGTTTCGGTTATCGTGGTAGAAATGGCACTGGCGGTTGTCGCGGAATCCGTCGCTGTGGATGTTGGAATCGCTGTAGATGTGGTTGCACTTTCGGTTGTCGTGGTAGAGCTGGCAGTAGATGTTGTTGTGGAATCAGTCGTAGTAGATGTTGGAATAGCTGTAGATGTGGTTCCACTTTCGGTTGTTGTTGTAGAGCTGGCAGTAGATTTTGTCGTGGAATCAGTCGTTGTGGATGCTGAAACCGTTGTAGTAGAAGTTGGAATTTCGGTTGTTGTTTTAGAGCTGGCTGTAGATGTTGTCGTGGAATCAGTCGTAGTGGATGTTGGAATCGCTGTAGATGTGGTTGCACTTTCGGTTGTCGTAGTAGAGCTGGCAGTAAATGTTGTCGTGGACTCAGTCGTTGTGGATGTTTGAATCGCTGTAGTAGAAGTTGGACTTTCGGTTGTCGTGGTAGAGCTTGCAGTAGATGTTGTCATGGAATCAGTCGTAGTGGATGTTGGAATAGCTGTAGATGTGGTTGCACTTTCTGTTGTCGTTGTTGAGCTGGCAGAAGATGTTGTCATGGAATAAGTCGTTGTGGATGTTGGAACCGTTGAAGTAGAAGTTGGACTTTCGGTTGTCGTGGTAGAGCTGGCAGTAGATGTTGTTGTGGAATCAGTCGTAGTGGATGTTGGATTAACTGTAGATGTCGTTGCACTTTCTGTTGTCGTTGTAGAGCTGGCAGTAGATTTTGTCGTGGAATCAGTAGTAGTGGATGTTGGTATCGCTGTAGTAGAAGTTGGACTTTCGGTTGTCGTGGTAGAGCTGGCTGTAGATGTTGTCGTGGAATCAGTCGTAGTGGATGTTGGAATAGCTGTAGATGTGGTTGCACTTTCTGTTGTCGTAGTAGAGCTGGCAGTAGATGTTGTTGTGGAATCAGTCGTAGTAGATGTTGGAATAGCTGTAGATGTGGTTCCACTTTCGGTTGTCGTTGTTGAGCTGGCAGTAGATGTTGTCGTGGACTCAGTCGTTGTGGATGTTGGAATCGCTGTAGTAGTCGCGGTTGTCGTGGTAGAGCTGGCAGTAGATTTTATCGTTGAATCAGTAGTAGTGGATGTTGGTATCGCTGTAGTAGAAGTTGGACTTTCGGTTGTCGTGGTAGAGCTGGCTGTAGATGTTGTCAAGGAATCAGTCGTTGTGGATGTTGGAATCGCTGTAGATGTGGTTGCACTTTCTGTTGTCGTTGTCAAGCTGGCAGTAGATGTTGTTGTGGAATCAGTCGTTGTGGATGTTGGAATAGCTGTAGATGTGGTTGCACTTTCGGTTGTCGTAGTAGAGCTGGCAGAAGATGTTGTCGTGGAATCAGTAGTAGTGGTTGTTGGAATCGCTGTAGTAGAAGTTGGACTTCCGGTTGTCGTGGTAGAGCTGGCAGTAGATGTTGTTGTGGAATCAGTAGTAGTGGATGTTGGAATAGCTGTAGATGTGGTTGCACTTTCGGTTGTCGTAGTAGAGCTGGCAGAAGATGTTGTTGTGGATTCAGTCGTTGTGGATGTTGGAATAGCTGTAGATGTGGTTGCACTTTCGGTTGTCGTTGTAGAGCTGGCAGTAGATGTTGTCGTGGAATCAGTAGTAGTGGTTGTTGGAATCGCTGTAGTAGAAGTTGGACTATCGGTTGTCGTGGTAGAGCTGGCAGTAGATGTTGTTGTGGAATCAGTCGTAGTGGATGTTGGAATCGCTGTAGAAGTAGTTGGACTTTCTGTTGTTGTTGTAGAGCTGGCAGTAGATGTTGTTGTGGAATCAGTTGTAGTGGATGTTGGAGTAGCTGTAGATGTGGTTGCACTTTCTGTTGTCGTAGTAGAGCTGGCAGAAGATGTTGTGGAGTCAGTCGTAGTGGATGTCGAAATCGCTGTAGATGTGGTTGCACTTTCTGTTGTCGTTGTAGAGCTGGCAGTAGATGTTGTCGTGGAATCAGTAGTAGTGGATGTTGGAATCGCTGTAGTAGAAGTTGGACTTTCGGTTGTCGTGGTAGAGCTGGCAGTAGATGTTGTTGTGGAATCAGTAGTAGTGGATGTTGGGATCGCTGTAGTAGAAGTTGGACTTTCGGTTGTCGTGTTAGAGCTGGCAGTAGATATTGTTGTGGAATCAGTGGTAGTGGATGTTGGAATAGCTGTAGAAGTACTTGGACTTTCTGTTGTTGTTGTAGAGCTGGCAGTAGATGTTGTTGTGGATTCAGTCGTTGTGGATGTTGGAACCGTTGTAGTAGAAGTTGGACTATCGGTTGTCGTTGTAGAGCTGGCAGTAGATGTTGTTGTGGATTCAGTCGTTGTGGATGTTGGAATAGCTGTAGATGTGGTTGCACTTTCGGTAGTCGTAGGTGAGCTGGCAGTAGATGTTGACGTGGAATCAGTAGTAGTGGATGTTGGAATCGCTGTAGTAGAAGTTGGACTTTCGGTTGATGTTGTTGTGGATTCAGTCGTTGTGGATGTTGGAATAGCTGTAGATGTGGTTGCACTTTCGGTTTTCGATGTAGAGCTGGCAGTAGATGTTGTTGTGGATTCAGTCGTTGTGGATGTTGGAATAGCTGTAGATGTGGATGCACTTTCGGTTGTCGTAGTAGAGCTGGCAGAAGATGTTGTTGTGGATTCAGTCGTTGTGGATGTTGGAATAGCTGTAGATGTGGTTGCACTTTCGGTTGTCGTAGTAGAGCTGGCAGTAGATGTTGTCGTGGAATCAATAGTAGTGGATGTTGGAATCGCTGTAGTAGAAGATGGACTTTCGGTTGTCGCAGTAGAGCTGGCAGTAGATGTTGTTGTGGATTCAGTCGTAGTGGATGTTGGAATAGCTGTAGATGTGGTTGCACTTTCTGTTGTCGTAGTAGAGCTGGCAGAAGATGTTGTTGTGGATTCAGTCGTAGTGGATGTCGGAATCGCTGTAGATGTGGTTGCACTTTCTGTTGTCGTTGTAGAGCTGGCAGTATATGTTGTCGTGGAATCAGTAGTAGTGGATGTTGGAATCGCTGTAGTAGAAGTTGGACTTTCGGTTGTCGTGGTAGAGCTGGCAGTAGATGTTGTTGTGGAATCAGCAGTAGTGGATGTTGGGATCGCTGTAGTAGAAGTTGGACTTTCGGTTGTCGTGGTAGAGCTGGCAGTAGATGTTGTTGTGGAATCAGTGGTAGTGGATGTTGGAATCGCTGTAGAAGTAGTTGGACTTTCTGTTGTTGTTGTAGAGCTGGCAGTAGATGTTGTTGTGGATTCAGTCGTTGTGGATGTTGGAACCGTTGTAGTAGAAGTTGGACTATCGGTTGTCGTTGTAGAGCTGGCAGTAGATGTTGTTGTGGATTCAGTCGTTGTGGATGTTGGAATAGCTGTAGATGTGGTTGCACTTTCGGTTGTCGTAGTAGAGCTGGCAGAAGATTTTGTTGTGGATTCAGTCGTAGTGGATGTCGGAATGGCTGTAGATGTGGTTGCACTTTCTGTTGTCGTTGTAGAGCTGGCAGTAGATGTTGTCGTGGAATCAGTAGTAGTGGATGTTTGAATCGCTGTAGTAGAAGTTGGACTTTCGGTTGATGTTGTTGTGGATTCAGTCGTTGTGGATGTTGGAATCGCTGTAGATGTGGTTGCACTTTCTGTTGGCGTTGTAGAGCTGGCAGTAGATGTTGTTGTGGATTCAGTCGTTGTGGATGTCGGAATAGCTGTAGATGTGGTTGCACTTTCGGTTGTCGTAGTAGAGCTGGCAGTAGATGTTGTCGTGGAATCAGTCATAGTAGATGTTGGAATTGCTGTAGAAGTAGTTGGACTTTCTGTTGTTGTTGTAGAGCTGGCAGTAGATGTTGTTGTGGATTCAGTCGTTGTGGATGTTGGAATAGCTGTAGATGTGGTTGCACTTTCGGTTGTCGTAGTAGAGCTGGCAGTAGATGTTGTTGAGGAATCAGTTGTTGTGGATGTTGGAATCGCTGTAGATGTTGTTGCACTTTCTGTTGTCGTTGTAGAGCTGGCAGTAGATGTTGTCGTGGAATCAGTAGTAGTGGATGTTGGAATCGCTGTAGTAGAAGTTGGACTTTCGGTTGTCGTGGTAAAGCTGGCAGTAGATGTTGTTGTGGAATCAGTCGTAGTGGATGTTGGAATAGCTGTAGATGTGGTTGCACTTTCGGTTGTCGTTGTAGGGCTGGCAGTAGATGTTGTTGTGGAATCAGTCGTAGTGGATGTTGGAATAGCTGTAGATGTGGTTGCACTTTCTGTTGTCGTTGTAGAGCTGGCAGTAGATGTTGTCGTGGAATCAGTAGTAGTGGATGTTGGAATCGCTGTAGTAGAAGTTGGACTTTCGGTTGTCGTGGTAAAGCTGGCGTAGATGTTGTTGTGGAATCAGTCGTAGTGGATGTTGGAATAGCTGTAGTAGAAGTTGGACTTCCGGTTGTCGTGGTAGAGCTGGCAGTAGATGTTGTTGTGGAATCAGTAGTAGTGGATGTTGGAATAGCTGTAGATGTGGTTGCACTTTCGGTTGTCGTAGTAGAGCTGGCAGAAGATGTTGTTGTGGATTCAGTCGTTGTGGATGTTGGAATAGCTGTAGATGTGGTTGCACTTTCGGTTGTCGTTGTAGAGCTGGCAGTAGATGTTGTCGTGGAATCAGTAGTAGTGGTTGTTGGAATCGCTGTAGTAGAAGTTGGACTTTCGGTTGTCGTGGTAGAGCTGGCAGTAGATGTTGTTGTGGAATCAGTTGTAGTGGATGTTGGAGTAGCTGTAGATGTGGTTGCACTTTCTGTTGTCGTAGTAGAGCTGGCAGAAGATGTTGTGGAATCAGTCGTAGTGGATGTCGGAATCGCTGTAGATGTGGTTGCACTTTCTGTTGTCGTTGTAGAGCTGGCAGTAGATGTTGTCGTGGAATCAGTAGCAGTGGATGTTGGAATCGCTGTAGTAGAAGTTGGACTTTCGGTTGTCGTGGTAGAGCTGGCAGTAGATGTTGTTGTGGAATCAGTCGTAGTGGATGTTGGAATAGCTGTAGATGTGGTTGCACTTTCGGTTGTCGTAGTAGAGCTGGCAGTAGATGTTGTTGAGGAATCAGTCGTTGTGGATGTTGGAATCGCTGTAGATGTTGTTGCACTTTCTGTTGTCGTTGTAGAGCTGGCAGTAGATGTTGTCGTGGAATCAGTAGTAGTGGATGTTGGAATCGCTGTAGTAGAAGTTGGACTTTCGGTTGTCGTGGTAAAGCTGGCAGTAGATGTTGTTGTGGAATCAGTCGTAGTGGATGTTGGAATAGCTGTAGATGTGGTTGCACTTTCGGTTGTCGTTGTAGGGCTGGCAGTAGATGTTGTTGTGGAATCAGTCGTAGTGGATGTTGGAATAGCTGTAGATGTGGTTGCACTTTCTGTTGTCGTTGTAGAGCTGGCAGTAGATGTTGTCGTGGAATCAGTAGTAGTGGTTGTTGGAATCGCTGTAGTAGAAGTTGGACTTCCGGTTGTCGTGGTAGAGCTGGCAGTAGATGTTGTTGTGGAATCAGTCGTAGTGGATGTTGGAATAGCTGTAGATGTGGTTGCACTTTCGGTTGTCGTTGTAGGGCTGGCAGTAGATGTTGTTGTGGAATCAGTCGTAGTGGATGTTGGAATAGCTGTAGATGTGGTTGCACTTTCTGTTGTCGTTGTAGAGCTGGCAGTAGATGTTGTCGTGGAATCAGTAGTAGTGGATGTTGGAATCGCTGTAGTAGAAGTTGGACTTTCGGTTGTCGTGGTAATGCTGGCAGTAGATGTTGTTGTGGAATCAGTCGTTGTGGATGTTGGAATAGCTGTAGATGTGGTTGCACTTTCGGTTGTCGTTGTAGAGCTGGCAGTAGATGTTGTCGTGGAATCAGTAGTAGTGGTTGTTGGAATCGCTGTAGTAGAAGTTGGACTTTCGGTTGTCGTGGTAGAGCTGGCAGTAGATGTTGTTGTGGAATCAGTAGTAGTGGATGTTGGAATAGCTGTAGATGTGGTTGCACTTTCGGTTGTCGTAGTAGAGCTGGCAGAAGATGTTGTTGTGGATTCAGTCGTTGTGGATGTTGGAATAGCTGTAGATGTGGTTGCACTTTCGGTTGTCGTTGTAGAGCTGGCAGTAGATGTTGTCGTGGAATCAGTAGTAGTGGTTGTTGGAATCGCTGTAGTAGAAGTTGGACTTTCGGTTGTCGTGGTAGAGCTGGCAGTAGATGTTGTTGTGGAATCAGTTGTAGTGGATGTTGGAGTATCTGTAGATGTGGTTGCACTTTCTGTTGTCGTAGTAGAGCTGGCAGAAGATGTTGTGGAATCAGTCGTAGTGGATGTCGGAATCGCTGTAGATGTGGTTGCACTTTCTGTTGTCGTTGTAGAGCTGGCAGTAGATGTTGTCGTGGAATCAGTAGTAGTGGATGTTGGAATCGCTGTAGAAGTAGTTGGACTTTCTGTTGTTGTTGTAGAGCTGGCAGTAGATGTTGTTGTGGATTCAGTCGTTGTGGATGTTGGAATAGCTGTAGATGTGGTTGCACTTTCGGTTGTCGTAGTAGAGCTGGCAGTAGATGTTGTTGTGGAATCAGTCGTAGTGGATGTTGGAATCGCTGTAGTAGAAGTTGGACTTTCGGTTGTCGTAGTAGAGCTGGCAGTAGATGTTGTTGTGGAATCAGTCGTAGTGGATGTTGGAATAGCTGTAGATGTGGTTGCACTTCCGGTTGTCGTAGTAGAGCTGGCAGTAGATGTTGTCGTGGAATCAATAGTAGTGGATGTTGGAATCGCTGTAGTAGAAGTTCGACTTTCGGTTGTCGTAGTAGAGCTGGCAGTAGATGTTGTTGTGGATTCAGTCGTTGTGGATGTTGGAATAGCTGTAGATGTGGTTGCACTTCCGGTTGTCGTAGTAGGGCTGGCAGTAGATGTTGTTGTGGAATCAGTCGTAGTGGATGTTGGAATAGATGTAGAAATAGTTGGACTTTCTGTTGTTGTTGTAGAGGTGGCAGTAGTTGATGTTTGACAAGCTGGAAGATTTGGAAAAACTGAACATATAGCGGCTACAGTTGTAGGTGTCGTTGATGATTGAGTCGGAGTCGGCGTTGTGGTCGGCGCGGCCGTAGTTGTAGGTAATGGGAATGGTGTTGTATTTTGATCTTCGTTTGGATTAAAAGATCCGTATGGTCCGTATGGTCCATATGGTCCGTAGAGTCCATAATATCCATATGGGTCGTTATACGCTGGATTGAGATATGCATTAGCCCAGTAGTTATTGTAATAGTCTAGTAGATAATCGTTGTATTCTTCATTCTGCTGATTGTTATTTTGTGCGTTGTTATTGGGTGGACTTTGGTTGTTAGAGTTTTCTGAATTGGCTCCAATTCCCGTGAGTCGCGTAAATAAGGTTGAAGCATCCCATACAGGTATCCTTATTTTTATTGATTGACCCCATGCCTGGGTGGCTAGGATCAGCAGAAAGCTGGCGGTATTTAATATCATCCCGAGCTAAGATTAGCCGACGCTTCGGTTAGCCTAGAACTGAAATGGTAGCCGCTGACCACCTGCCGTTTTATACAAGCCACAAAGGTCGTTAAATTAAAATAATGCTATACCCAAACAAAAGGTTGAATAGAACTAACTTCATAAATTTAAATTTTTTATAGATTTTGTAAGTTTGCGATACAGCGAAAGAACACTTCTAGGCTGACGAACAGCTGATGCTAATTAGTTCTTAACTTCACCAGTTAGACCTAGGCTCTCACAGCACGTTTTTGAGCTATGGTTACAGCTTCTGATCATTTAACCCGTTAGTTTTGGAATCAATTATCTGACAAGAGAAGGCTTGATTTAGTTTGCTTTTATTGAATAAATTAATCGTCTTATATCTTAAACACTCCAAAGTTTTTGCATGCCATTGAACTTTCATTTCTTTCCTCCGTAAACGAAGTAAGGAGCCGGTTGTGCCCTGTGGTAAATGTCGTATGGGATATACACTGGCACAGACTGAGCTGCAGATGAAGCCACTGCGGAGCTACTGACACCATTCTGACTGGTACGGATGCGGTGTAGATCGTAAGGATTGATGAATTGGCCGGACTCATAGGGATATGGAAGGGGCGTGGTATTTACGAACCGTCTGACGGCATTAGAGGTAGTTATAGGACCGGTTGATGTAGGAATTGCAGTAGACGTGGACAATGTAGTTGCTGGTGTAGTTGTTGTGGTGGTTGTTGTGGTGGTTGTTGTGTCTGCTGTAGTTGCTGGTGTAGTTGTTGAGGTGGTTGATGTGTCAGGGATCGCATTTGATGTGGACACGGTAGATGTTGTTGCTGCTGTAGTTGCTGGTGTAGTTGTTGAGGTGGTTGATGTGTCAGGGATCGCATTGGATGTGGACACGGTAGATGTTGTTGCTGCTGTAGTTGCTGGTGTAGTTGTTGAGGTGGTTGATGTGTCAGGGATCGCATTTGATGTCGACACGGTAGTTGTTGTCGCTGCTGTAGTTGTTGTGGAGGTAGCTGCGGTAGTAGTAGTAACGGGAGCTGCTGTTGTCGTAGACGCCGTGTTCGTAGACGACAAGAGTCCATTGGGACCGTAAAGACTATATAAATATGCTTGATAAGCTGCCTGAGCCTCGTAGTATTGCTGCAACTGGCTGCTATAGTACTGACTCAGGTAGGCTTCGTATTCAGCTTGAGCATTGTTGTTATTGTTGTTATTATTATTCGAAGAAGTAGAACTGCCACCTCCTCCTCCACCGCCACCTCCTCCACCTCCTCCTCCTCCTCCGCCTCCTCCTCCACCAGCTAGAGCCGAGAGAATACTTCCAACGGTGTAAACAGGAAAACTTATGGACTGACCCCAGGCCTGACCAATCAGCAGGAAGACCAATCCTAAGGTCTTAATCAGCATTTTGAAGAGAGATTCTACGTTGGTCCGGTTAGTTCAGAACTAAAGTGATGGCTCCAAGATGCGTCGAGTTTTATACAGTCGGTCGGGTGTCATAAATTGGACTGTAACCGAGACCTACAAAAGACCGGACTGGAACACGGGCCTCAGATCAAAATTCGAATTGGGCTTGGTGAAGATCTGAATCGGTAATTTGAATTTTTATTGTTTTGGCCAGTGAAATCACAGAAGTGAACTGAAAGCTTATTTCGCATAACTTAGTAGACTAATGGCCTGTCATAATAAGCAAATTCTACTTAACGTTCCTCTATTACAAGACGACGCTAATTTACTAATCATCTCTCTTATGAATAATTTAAATGGTTTGCTTTCCACCGATTGATAATATTCGCCTAGCCACCTCGGTAGTAATAAGTAGAAGGCCTATATATGGGTCTATAATAAACATATCTGGGTGGAGGTCTATAATAGAGCACGGTGGCAGGGCTTTGAGTTCTAGCCGGCGCGGGACGTCTTGTAGTTTGCTGAAGAATTTTGTTCACCGGCTGCTCAATGTCATCCAGATCGTACTTGATTCGAGATCCGTTCTTAAAGTCTATATAGTCATAATCTTCATCGTTATCAGGTCCGTTGATATCTTTTTCAACCACTGGTTTTCGCGTGGTAGTAGTGGCCTGGGCCTGAGCAATGAAGTCTGCCAGCAAAGTGGGTGAAATAGTTGGTGCACTGGCTCCAGATCCAGGGTGCTGCAAGCCCTGTAGAACTCCTTGCAGGAACTGCTCGCGTACTAGGTTGCTTGATTGTTGAACGTTTGACGTCTCATCGGACTGCGGCTGATTGATGATCGCACTGTTTATGCTGGACGAAGTCTCATCTTGTGGCCTACGGATGGGGACCTGTGGCACGGCACCAGGATATGCCAAAACGTATAGCCAGGGGAAAACTGTACGAATTCTATCCTCCTCTGAGTTTGGGACACCTGCACTTGCTTGAGCAGCTGCCACAGACACTAAACACAGTAGAAATCCGATCAGTTTCATATCGAAACGCGTTCGACTTTGAACTAATGCTGGTTGAGCATTGGGCTTGCATATTTAGCAAATATTCGCCCTCTATGATATGTAAATGCTAATTTCGGTTCATTAATAAGTTAGCGATCGGAGAAATCGATCGCGTCTCTTTTATTTTTCTTTCTTTTCTGGCCTTTGTTTACCTTTTTAATTCGCTTACAGTCGGTTTATTGGAGCTGAATCAGTGGAAAGATAACTCACCTCTTTCACCATCGGCATTACACAACTATTAAGCTTTTAAAACTAAACTAAAGTAAACAACAAATTACTTTCTTTGGGCACATAGTTTGTCAGCTTAAACAAATCATCTACCCATTATTTTTTCGCCACAAATTGAATTTGATTATATGGTATATATGCCGGTGATCGGTGAACTGCTAATGATTCCAATGCCGGATCATGGACATATGCCCGCTGCGGATGGATGCGACGTAAATCGAAGGGACTGATCAGTGGGTTGGGATCGTAAGGATAGGGAATGGGTGTAGTATGTTGGATCTGGTACCGCGCAACTGCATTGGATGAGGCTAAGGCTGTGGAGGTGGTATCTGGACCAGTTGATGTAGGGATTGCCGTCGATGTGGTTGGAGATACCGTGGTTGTTGATTGAGTGGCAAGGGCAGTGGAGGTGGTCTGTGGACCGGTTGAGGTAGGAATCGCCGTCGAAGTGGTAACAGGTCCTGTAGTCGTAGGAATAGCTGTAGATGTTGTTGGAGTTGGAGTTGTAGTCACTGGAGCCGCAGTAGTTGTGGGAGGTGGTGGTGGTGGAGGCCCTTGGCCATAGTATCCGTATGGATTATATGGTCCAGGTAGTGGTGGTGGAGGCCCTTGGCCATGGTATCCATATGGATTATATGGTCCAGGTCCGTAGGGACTGTAGAGACCATATAGGCTGTATGGTCCATATAGCTGATCGTAGGCCGCTTGAGCTTGATAGAACTGCTGCCATTGAATGTTGTAGTACTCGTTTAGATAGGCATTGTAGTCCGACTGAGCATTGTTATTATTGTGGCCGCTCGAGTGGCCAGGACGAGAGAGAGCTCCTGAGATCTGCTGACCGAGAAGTTGAAGATCAAGGTGACGCAGGTCACCCAAGGATTGACCCGTTAACAGGAGAAGTAGGCCTAATATTTTAATCAGCATTGTAAGGAAAGATCACACGGTTCCCTGGCTTATCCAAAACTGATGTCTAAATCTTCAAGACCCCAGAGTTTTATACGGGTTGCAAAGGGTCGAAAATTGGACCTTACTTTATATGTAGAACATGGACTTCATCCCATTAGACGATTTAAATTTTTATTGACTTGCCTAATGGGTAGCATAACTTAATAATATAATGAAGCACCATTGTGCCAGATTACAACCTATCTATCCCTCAGATCTCGGATTTCTCGGATCAAAGGTTCCAAACCAAGAGAAGGAATCGTTTTAATATTTATATTTTATTATATTTTGACCAAAAACTAACTGGTTTTTCTATGTTAACAATATAATCTGCCGAATAAGCATGACATTCTGTTATACTATTTGAAACTTTGATCTTTGTACTTTGGCATACTAGGAAAGTTTAAATTTGTATTTTGTGGAGTGCGGTGTATGGTCGTTAACCACATCTACCAATGCCTACTGTTTTTTGATATAAGTTAACTACTCAAATATAAAAGTATATAATTTGTTTGCCGAAGTTAATTTTATTTAATATTTACACAGATTTACTTTATAATCGTTTCATGCGTTATGATCACCATCTTACTATGCATACGTCGAATCGTACTAAAAGCAAAAAGTTGAAAACAAAATTTACTGAGGATCTCTACAGTCTGCTTACCTGCCATTCGTTCTCAAACACCGGAATCCTATAGGTCTCCACATTGGTCATTAGAGCTTGGCTGGACTTTATATTCCGTACCAAAATCCGGCGTGGCATGCCCTGTCGCACAGTTTTAACCCTGGTTCGAGGCAAAAACACAGGACTGGCAAATGCTTGCTGCTGGTTACTCCAGTACCGTGGTTCTTGGTTACTCCAGTACTGCGGTTCCGGAGAGCCATCGCCGAAGGCTCTGGCATTAAGGTTGATATACTGGACATTGGGCTGACGGCCAAATATAGTTCTCAAAAGATTCCGTAGAGGAGCGTTGCTGGAAACCTGGTTACTTGATAGTGCAATGTTCCCGGTGCCCAAGGAGCTGACAACTTGAAGATCCTGGTTGGTTGAGTTCGCGGTGATTGTGAGATTTCTTAGGCTGTTCAACAAACCGCGTCGGAAAAAATGTCTTCCGCCTATTACTTGAACCTGCGACGAGGACGGGTAGACAACCTGTACTCCAGGTGAACTATATACCTGGAAGGCCTGCCCTGCTATTGAGTTAACTTGGAGCAGCAGAGTGAGACCAATCAAAGCGACTAACATGGCGAAGAATTTTGTTAAGGCTTCTTGGTTCTTGAGTTCTTCTTCAGACTATGCCAGGGACTGTTGGTGGCTCGAACTTTTATAATCCAAAAGCAAAGACTTATCTAAATTGTTATTAATGGATCAATTTTGTGTATCGAACGCTTATAAATTAAAGTCGATTTGGGCGCCTAGAATATATATTAACTGTCAATATTTGTTTAGAAGATATATATTTCGAATAAGCAAAAGAATAGTGTTGGAAGAAGGAATGATTCCAGGTTGGTTTTATGTACTTGATGTGAGTGACCTTTTAGCAATTCTTCTTACTTGATAGAAAAAAGATTTAAGTATTAACCAATTCTTAAAAACGTTTAAAAACATATAACCTCTTAATTGCTAGTCATGAATACTTTTATAAATGACATTTCTTATTGATATTTGCTACCAAAAATAACTCATCTCGCAAAGTTTCCGTGGATCCCATCGGCACCTGTGAAGTGAATTAATTCCAACATCTGCACCAAAGTAATAAAATAGATTTAATCAGTCTAGGGCTTCGCATATTTAAATGGAATCCAGCTGGGTTTTCTAGCAATAAAAATGCTAAAAAATAAGTCCAAGCGTTAACCGTTATGCCAGCACCAAGCTAATCCATAACACCGATCTAAGCAAATAAAAGCTAGTAACTTGTTGGGCGTGTTCTGAGCTGGCTTTAATAGCTGAACTAATTTACATGCAAAGTTGGCAGAAGCGGTGACTAGACATATTGCAGAAGATTGGTCTTTTTTTCAGAAGATCTTTTCAAAATGTTTGCAAACTGGGTTAATGTTTATTGGCAATAATTTAGGAGGTTGCCGTCGCATTTCTTTTTGGCGAATTTGACTAGTATAAAAGCGCAGCTGATGCCATCTGTCAATCAGTTCAAAGTCAACACCTTTCACACCATGAGCACCAAACTGGTACTCTGCCTGTGCCTGGCGCTCTGCGGAGCCCTGGCCATGGCCATTCCCGTGGAGGATAATATCGGTCAGGAATCGGAGGTGGAGAACAGCCAGGAGCTGAACAGCATTGAGGAGAACGATGCCGAGGCCGATCCCGCGTCGTGGCGCAAGCTCTTCGGGAGCGAAGGCAGCGCTGGAAACCTAGTGCTTACCTTCCCCAGCTCTACCACTACCACCACTACTAAGAAGCCCAAGACCACCAAGCGGCCGTACTACCCCTACCCGCCTTACCCACAGTACTCACCATATCCGCCACCGTACCCCTATCCCGGCTACTATCCACCCCCTCCGTATCCCTTTCCCACAACGACAACAACCACAACGACTACCACCAAGAAGCCCGTGCCGAAACCCGATGATGGACACCACCACCATCCCCACCATCCCCAACATCCGCAACATCCGCAACATCCCCAACATCCGCACCATTCCTACCATCCCCACCATCCCCAGTACCCCCCCTATCCACAACCACCTTCGTATTACCCCACCCTACCCGTACTACCCACCTCCACCACCTCCACCACCACCACCACCACCACCACCACCGCCACCACCACCATCCAACGACGACTCAGACGAATCCACCGAAACACCCACTAAGACCTGCAAGAAGTTCCTGGGCCTTGGACTCGTCTGCGCCTAAGCTGTAGATCCAGAACCTATCACTAAAAAGAGCTCAATATTTATTTATTTATAATTTATTTATTAACCGAATAAACAATTGGCGCACACCTAAGTAGTTTCTATATGGGTTTAAATGGGTTTATATATCAGCTTAAGTTTGTTAAACAAATCTAATGATTAGTGATGTCCGTTACTGGAATGTTATACCATAGCACAGCTAAAAATGGTCCAAATATGGAATGTAATACCTCGTAGGGTTCGTAATTTGATTGACATGATTCTCAATCAAGTTTGATTCAAATCTGGGAAACTTCATTTTTTTCAATTTCTCACAAATTTTGATGATGGTTATCAAAAATGTGAAAATTTGCCAAAAATTAAGGTTTCGAAATCGATCGGACAAGGACATTTCTTGCAATTTCGGGTCGTAAGCTGCACAAAACAGTCGTTCTTATGGCTGTAAGTCTTTTTTTGACCGAGCTAGAGCTAAAAAGTCGCAAAAAATAAAACCAATTTCTGTCAAGAATAGGGTTTTTGACTTTATAGCCATTAAATCAGCACTCTCCCCAACAAAATCAGAACAATACTGTTAAAAGTAGGTAAAGGGGTTACAAGTTTTGGTTGTTTGCTCCATAAAAAAGTCATTGTTTTAGCCGTGCGTCTTGTTTTGACAAAGTTAGAGCTAACAAACGGCATCAAAACCGAAATCTCTGCTGTCAAAAGTCGTATACTTGATTTTGGGCGCAAAAAATAAGTTTTTTTGCCATAGCACAGCTAAAAATGGTCCAAATATGGAATGTAATACCTCGTAGGGCTTGTACTTTGATTGACATGATTCTCAATCAAGTTTGATTCAAATCTGGGAAACTTCATTTTTTTCAATTTCTCACAAATTTTGATGATGGTACCCCTTATCAAAAATGCGAAAATTTGCCAAAAAATTAAGTTTCCGAAATCGATCGGACAAGGACATTTCTTGCAATTTCGGGTCGTAAGCTGCACAAAACAGTCGTTCTTATGGCTGTAAGTCTTTTTTTGACCGAGCTAGAGCTAAAAAGTCGCAAAAAATAAAACCAATTTCTGTCAAGAATAGGGTTTTTGACTTTATAGCCATTAAATCAGCACTCTCCCCAACAAAATCAGAACAATACTGTTAAAAGTAGGTAAAGGGGTTACAAGTTTTGGTTGTTTGCTCCATAAAAAAGTCATTGTTTTAGCCGTGCGTCTTGTTTTGACAAAGTTAGAGCTAACAAACGGCATCAAAACCGAAATCTCTGCTGTCAAAAGTCGTATACTTGATTTTGGGCGCAAAAAATAAGTTTTTTTGCCATAGCACAGCTAAAAATGGTCCAAATATGGAATGTAATACCTCGTAGGGCTTGTACTTTGATTGACATGATTCTCAATCAAGTTTGATTCAAATCTGGGAAACTTCATTTTTTTCAATTTCTCACAAATTTTGATGATGGTACCCCTTATCAAAAATGCGAAAATTTGCCAAAAAATTAAGTTTCCGAAATCGATCGGACAAGGGCATTTCTTGCAATTTTGGGTCGTAAGCTGCACAAAACAGTCGTTCTTATGGCTGTAAGTCTTTTTTTGACCGAGCTAGAGCTAAAAAGTCGCAAAAAATAAAACCAATTTCTGTCAAGAATAGGGTTTTTGACTTTATAGCCATTAAATCAGCACTCTCCCCAACAAAATCAGAACAATAATGTTAAAAGTAGGTAAAGGGGTTACAAGTTTTGGTTGTTTGCTCCATAAAAAAGTTAGAGCTAAGAAACTGCATCAAAACCGAAATCTCTGCTGTCAAAAGACGATTTTGGGCGCAAAAAATCAGTTTTTTTTGCCATAGCACAGCCAAATATGCTCCAAATATAGAATCTTATACCTCGTAGTACTCGTAATTTGACTGCTATGATTCACAATTGATTTTCATTCAGATCTGAGAAACTTCAACTTATGAACTTATCACAAATGTGAACATTTACTGAATAATAAATTTCTCTACATCGGAAAATGAGTGATAGAGTAGTAAGTTTGGGTTGTTAGCAGCACAAAACAGTCGATATTTTGACTGTGCGTCTTGTTTTGACCAAGGTAGAGCGACAAAACTGCAAATAATATTGCAAATTTCTCACTAAAATTGTTATTCTGATTCATGGTAATTGATAAAAGTTCTGAATAAATATGGATAACCCTGCGACACTGAGTTCAGCATTTTGTGCCGCCACAGGTGCCCTGGAGATTTATTCCTAATTGACAGCGACAGCCTCATTAACTTGATTGTCAGCATCAGAGAGACGGTGTAACCGAATGTGAGCTATTGTTAGGCCTGCGATTAACATTTCAAATTCACTCGAGGCGCGTTTTACATATTCAAATTTTGTTTAGTGGCCCAGCAAAGCTCCGGACCGGTTGATGACTTCACTGCCGCAGTTAAAGGTGGCCGAGCTCATTATAAAGATAAAGTTCGAACAATAGGTTGATGTCTGTCATCTAATAGTCGGCTTATTTATCGGGATCTTTGCGGCAGACTTTCTGGCGACACTAATTAAATGTCCGCCAGCCATTACTAAATCAAAACAGATCCTGGCCAGGACAAACAACAGCTCCCTAGATAGAGATGGAAAGGCCAGACTAGTTAACCGTTTCCTCTGCTCCGCTGCCAGTGTGCGTGTTCCGAAAATCGTAAATTTCGGATGTTGTTAAAAAAGTTTTGGCAGCGGCATAAATCTGCGGCCAACGGGACAACAGCGGCCACGGCGGAGTCAGTCTACTAACGAGCCGAAATCGTTGACTGGAAATCCTTGAGTACAGAAATAATGCCTATAAATATGCTGAAGCAGTTGTCTGTGCCCTTGCCCGTGCCCATGCTCCTGTCCTTTTGTGGGATTCAATTGAGTCAAAGGCAAAACTTTTGCCAACCAACCAACCAGTCGAAGGTCAACAGCGCAATTTGTTTCCCCGAACATGTGCTAGGAAGGCGTTCTGATCCAGGAGCAATTGAGAGTCCAAGGTGGCCCACAAATTTGAGTGTTTGCTTAGGGCTCGGGGCTATCCATTCGGGGCAATCGATGAAGAGTTATGAAGTGACTGGTCCCAGCCTTGATTGTTTAAACAATGAGGGTAATTACGCATCGGGAGGCGGAGAGGACAATTACACGCAGATTACCACGTAATTTATGAAATATGCAGGGACAAATAAAATACTATAAAACACGTACCCCGGACCCCATAAATAAGCCAACTGGGCTTAGCCAGCTGCCCATAAACTATATAGAACGTTTGCCTGGCCCATTCTCCGTTCAAATGTAAATATGTTTGCCCCCCGCAGACGGCTCTTGGCCAACTGGCAGTTTCATCTTGACTGCGAGCCACTCGCTTGAGCCTGGCAACCGGCGGAAGTACTTGGAGCGGCGGAAATACAAATGAAGTTAGCCATATCAGTGGAACTTACTTAGCCAGCATTTTTATGGCATTTCGCATTGTTAGGACAACTTTTCGGCTCAAAAGGAAAATTCTGGCCGTACGCATTTCAAGCTCTTAGATACAGTTATTAAAAATTTGATCTTCCTGGAAGCCCAAAAAACGTACTTAAATTGGATGCCCTCCCAAACGGGTAGAAAAGTCTCTTTGGCAAAAAAAAAAAAAAAAAAAAAAAACGGAGAATATATATAAAACAAATTAAGAATGCCAGCGAAATGAAACAAATTCCACTTGATTCGTTTGTGCGTGAACGTTTTTGTTGCACCAATTTGTACAGAACACTCTATACATGGCCATATACTCGAATATATATATACGACATATATATATGTTTGTATTTCAAATATAATTTGCACTCAACAAATAAATCGCCCGACTCTCCTTCAGCCAACCCTCATCGCTTCTTGGCCATTGTTCCCGACAATAGACGTCTGCGTATGGCTTTTCACTTTAATTGTGTGAAATTATTTTGAAAAAGTGTTTCGCTTTTCATTTTTTCTTCCCTCCCACTTCCCCTTGCTTTTGGTGTTTTATGCTTTTTTGGTTCCAGTTTTTTGTTAACGATTCGTTTAGCACAAGGCCATATTTATTTGAATGGCAGCCTTTTAATGTCGATTTTTATTGTGCTCTTTATAGTCACAAATTGCCTAGACAAATGAGACAGAGAAAAACAATCTACAAATATAATACATATATAGATGAATTTTCTATAGATAAATGACTAAAATATTAAATACATTAAGACTGATGGAAAAATTCAAATATATTTATAACTTTTTTTGCTTGCAAAAGGCATTTTCTGTTCTGCTTTAAAAGGCAATTGAAGTTTTAATTAAAAGCCGAAATGTGAATAGGTGAACATTAATTAAGGCTGCTCCCTTGTAGTCTCTTTCTCGCCAAGGCAGTATTTTATATGTTGGCCATCTTTGTGGGCCATTAGGTCTATTTTCGTGGGCCACATTTACGTCAGAAGTGATTGTAATGAGTTTTTGATATTCCCCTCATTGGCGTGAATTCTCTTCCTCCCTTCCACCACACAGGCTCTTCCAGTTCTTGTCAATTTGAAAATGGCCCCAGTTCTTGCCTCTGTCCGAATGTCCGACTGTCTGTCGAAGTGTCGGGCTCGGCCACAGTTGGCTGTCAAACATAAAAAATAGCACAAAAATATACAGGCCTGCCAGTTGATGTCGAAGTAATCAAAATGTGGCCGGAGAAATCAAAGCATCTCGGGGATAAATACTGAATTAAATATCAGATGAATATCCTGGCGTTTGGGGGCCACAATTTAAAGGGCATTTGCAGTGCCTGGCCATTTAATTCATATTGGCCTGGGATCTCCTCTTCTACCATTCTTCTTTTTCTGTATTTAGCGAAGACAAGCGGGTATTTTAGAGAAAACAGGGCTTTGGGTTTTGTTTTCGCTTAGGGCTCGTGGCATCGAAAACAAAAACAAAGTGCGGCAAAGGCGCCAAAGCGAAAGGCACACACACACAATGAAACACTAAAGGACCTTGGGTGTACCTCGTGGTTTTCTTGTTCTTCACTTTCACTAGGGCGCTCTCGAGCTGCTGCTGCTTCTTTTTTTAATTTCTTTAAGAGCTAAACAGAAATGGCGAAA